GTGGTATATAAGAAAACCTCAAGATCAAGGTTCCCTATCATAAGAGGACAACTAGAAACCCTACAAAGGTCTCTTCATATTTTTCCTTCCACACTCAAATTGAAAACCAAGTGATCCTCCTAACCTCAGTAATCTATCAGTGATTAAAAAACCATAGCTTTTGTTATTGGAACTTAGTGCAACACCCTTTGGCATGTAGGGTTGGTGAAAAAGGGTTGCATACTCCTCCCCTTTTTTTTACATGCTCATCCTCGTCAACACTGTCGTTGCCAGGTCCCAAGTCATGGATGAGAAAAGTGGAGGGTTGCGATAGGTAGTCGATAGCCAGAGTAAAACTTGTCGAACAATAATGACATTAATCCTTTAAGAAATTAGTGGGATAAAGGATTGATGTTGTTGTTGTTGTTGTTGTACTCATCCTCGTCAGCATCGGATTCAAAATCTGCGGGTCTGATATCCATCCATATCAACTAAGTTCACCAATCAATAGTTTATCGATAATGAAAATTTGAAATAAGATGTATACAACTAAAAACAACACTTGTAGCTAAATTTCTTGTATGGAACGTAAAGATTGACCACAGATGCTTTGAAAGAAGTGTTGTACACTGTGTCTAATAGTTGGTACAAGACTACCAATATACTCTACGTAGGTTGATTCCAATACCAAATTTCAACATGTTGGGATCTTGGAGGAAGATGTCCTTCTTGAATGTAGAGGGAGAGAGGGAGGGAAGAGAGAGAACATATATTGCAGGGAAAAACAACTAAATATTATTTCATTTTCCCCAACTTTGCAAAATACTCAAACCTCTATTTATAACACAATCAAGTTGTTAAGATAGACCAAAGGAACAAAATTCTTAAAGTTGGACCAAAATACAAAAATCATCACCTTAGTCCAATTTTACAATGTTATGACAAAATAAACCTCCATCGGACCATCACTTTGGTTAACTCTCATTTCCATGCTCTGAATCCCACATGAATCAGGTGTTCTGACCAAACCGCCCAAGCCTTTCCCTTATGCGAGCCTCCCATCTATGACCCAGACCTCTAGTCCGACTCCGTCGTCAGCACGCGGCTCCTGAACATGACCAACATGTGTGAACACCCATGTCCTACCACCATGCATCCTACGCAACAGTTGCGACTCTTACACCCGCTCCAAGCTCCCATGCAACCCAACTACACCGCACGCACCAAGCCTCGCCTTGCGCCCTGCACCCCACACCTTATCGCGCCCCACGCACTAAGCCCTAAGAGATGTGCGTGCCCCGCTCATCTATCGTGAACGGTGCACCCAACGCCCCGAGTGATCCCACGTGTACTGCACGCCTTCCCACGTATGGCTCCCACATGCCTGCACAGCGCATCCGCCCAGCCCCGTACCTTGTGTTTGTACCACGCGCGTGTACGCACGGGTCTACCTGTGAGTGTTCGACCGCGTGTGTCCGTGATTTCTTGCTCCTAGCCCATCTTCGTCTGCATGCTCCTCTCCTTCCGTGTGAAACCGCTCAGGCGGCTCCTGTCCACCACATGCCCTGCATGTCCACCCCCGGCCCTGCAAGTCCGCCTAATGCTTGTGCTCATGTTGTCCGACTGCGACTGCGATTGCACAGCCAAGGTCCATGTGACTTGCATGACTACACCCCAGTTCCTCTTGCGTGCGACACCAGCAGCCCTACCTCATCTTTCTTTCTTGACTACAAGAAGCTTCCTCCACCTCCACCTAGCTCTGATACCAGTTTTTTGGGATCTTGGAGGAAGATGTCCTTCTTGAATGTAGAGGGAGAGAGGGAGAGAAGAAAGAGAACAAATTTTGGAGGAAAAAACAACTGAATATTATTTCCTTTTCCCCAACTTTACAGAAAACTCGCACCTCTAAGATAGCCCAACGGAATAAAATTGCTAAAGTTGGACTAAAATACAACACAACACATCCAATTTAAAATATAGTTTGCACGTACCATACACGATGCACTAAAGAGTCAGGTAGGTTTAAACAAAAATCATAGGATAAATCTTAGTTTTGGTAGAAAAATTTCAGCTCAGAATAAAAATGCTGAGCACTCTTGAAATATAAAGCCAATTACTTTCTTCAATTTATGCTCTTCCAATGCAAATGAATACTTGCATGTATGACAGTATGAATCTCTTAATTTTATGCATCTATGTTCACTCAAATGACTTGTTGCAAGAATATGTAAGACTACATGTTGGTATGAAGCTACCATACAAGAGATAAGACCATAAATTGGATACCTGGCTGCTAATCCAACACATACAGTGGAAACATTCGGACGAATATGCCTCATTGTATCGAAAATTGCCATACCTAATAAGAACCATGAATTATTTGAGTGTGCAAATTAACCAATAGTTAATGTGTGGATCAAACTTATTACAGGAAGATGAGGAAACAACTTACCAGCTGTTACTGATCCTCCAGGAGAGTTCACATACATGACAATGTCCTATTAAGCACAATAGATAATAAACCTTAATGACATTCACAAGACAGAATGTAAATATATGATAACATTGTAAACACGCCCAAAATGACAACTTGGGAAGCCATTAAGACTACCTTGAAGTTCAAGCTTGAGGTGGAATACAGGATAAAAAAGAGTGATTCAGACAAAAAAAAAGCTACAGAATAAGGAAAATACATGAAAATACCTTCTTAGGATCCACTGCATCAAGATAAAGAAGCTGTGCTACAATTATATTGGCCATGTCATCATCGACCGCACCGCCACAGCGTATAATTCTCTACAAGGGAAACAAAACTTAAACTTAAGATCTTGATCATCAGAAAGCCAGATAATAATCACGCTCGAGCAAACACAGATCATACATGCTGGAATAGCTGACTAATAACACTCTGAAACCTCTCCTGCACCATTGGCGGTGGACCTTGTCCGCCCTGAGACTCCACAGGGAAGTAAGGAGAAGATGGCACTAACAAATCATCTCTACATCTCGATCAAAGATGATATTTTTCCATATCAGAAGAGAAACGCCATGATTCAGCGAAAATGAATAAGAAAAGACAGGGAGGAAACCAACCGAATCGACCAAATCCCCTTCCTGCTATCCTGATTAGAAGTCCGGGAGCGGTTCGAGTAGATTGCCTTAGGCGAGCTCCGTCTCCTTAGTAGGTTTCCATGAATCGTGCAATAACGAAATAGAAAACTGCGATGAGAAATGGCAGGACAAAAATAAAATGGAAAAGGGGGAGGAAAAAGGAGGAAATGAGTACTTGGAAGAAAGTGAATGAAGGAGGGGGTTTTGGTGGGTAAGAATGAGGGTTTTGAGTGGATGAGCCGTGGAGGGAGAGACCGAGACTGGAGAATCCGCAAGCTTGAGAGCCGTGGTCGCTGACGAGGTGAAGGAAGAAGCCGCCATTGTTTTCTGTCAGCCTTCCTCTTGGGCTGGCTATCCTTGTTCCGATTGTAGATTTCCGTCGCTGTAAGCCCAATTTTTGGATATTAGGAATTACAAATTTAACTCTAAATTACAAATTCAAGTATATAGAAAATAACTCATCCACAAAATTTATTTTCATTTCTCACCAAATATATAGACAGCAAATACACGACAATGCATGGCTACATATCGGAATAGAAAAGAAACAATTTGAATAACACACGACTGTAAAAAAAAACTACACAGACTTGGACATATTAGATCCTGACTCAGCTACTCAATGAGCTCTTTCTCTTTCGCAAACCTTGAAATATAATACAGATAAGCCGTAAGCCAACACAACTCAGCAGGTCGCAATTGCCAAACTAAAATTTCAATTATCATTTATTGAACATTTTACATAATTTTTTAAATAATATGATAAATTATTGTACTGAGCAAAATAGAAATTTTAGATATAAAAAAATGTAAATACCAATACTGAGAAAATAAATAAATAAGTACTTCATATATCAGAACATAAAGTATTTAAAATTAGAATTAAGTGTTGTGGCATGCAATCTTGCATGCTACAACACTCACTTAAAGAGCAAACAGCACCGCAACAGTACCATCCCAACTCTGCCTTGCTGAATTAATTTTCAAAATTTTAGAAAGCTCAACTTCACGATGCCCAAGGAGAAAAAAAAATTCAAATTTCACAAATATGCACACAGATCCTCGAGACCCACTTCAAAACACATGCATACAAAACATTCTCAAACACATGTAAATGAATTCAAATGCAGAAATTCAATGAATTTCCTTTGATTAGAATAGGCAGAACAAGTGCAATGGTGCACGAATCTGTAGGTCTTACATATGATACCTTGAAGGTCCAACTTCCATCAAATGCAAATCCCCTCACAGAATTTTTAAGGTCGGAAACTGTTGTTACATAGATCAATTTAAGCAAGGCTTTTGCTTCCCAGTTCAAGGCTTTTGCTTCCCAGTTCAAGAATTTCTTTAGAGCTATCATCGTGCAAATAATATTGAATTTCTTACTCTCCAAGCCAGCCACTTCCATATTCTAATTCTCTATGTAGGAAGTTCAATACAATTGTGAAGTCAACTAAGAAATAGCTGATTTCAATAAGGCCGCTTACATTCTCCAAAGACAAAATGGATTTTCCTAATGTGCTAAAGGATATATATCTTTAGTGATGAACATAGATAAACTTCACAGTCAATAATGATCACTATAGATGGCAGGGGCGGAACCAGCCTTGATTGTTAGGGGGGCAAATTTATAAATAACACCTCTACACAATGTGTTTAATTCTGTTAGGAGGGCAATCACCTAAAGAACATAGTATTTTATTTTTTTTAGGGGGGAAATTGCCTAAAAACTCCTATAATAAAGAGTAAAAACAAGATGGAGGGGAACAAATTTCCTAAATGTCTATGTAATAAACAAATTATTAATTTTTTTAGGGGGGCAATTGCCTAAAAACTCCTATAATAAAGAGTAAAAACAAGATGGAGGGGAAATAAATGTCTATGTAATAAACAAATTTTTAATTTTTTTAGGGATTAAATTGCCCCCCCCCGGAGGCACTAGGTGGTTCCGCCCCTGATAAATGATATATATCGACTAATCAAGTAAGATTGGATGAAATCTTATCAGACCAGATAAAATATATTTTAGTTTTCTCCAATGCTTTCACCTCAATTCAATTTGATAAGCTATTGAACATAACAAGATGAACTTTCTTTCTTCCTTTCGCGAAGAAATGGGTTGATTAGGTCCATGTTCTAAACAATAAATGGCCATGGTTTGCAAATCGACAACAACTTTTGAGATGAGCTAGAGCTACATGGGATTAAATTTCTGACATTGAAGACATCTTTTTGAAAAAAAAAAAAAAACTTCTAAGAAATAGCAAATTTAAATTTTGTGAAGTCAACTAAGAATAAGGGTACTAGGATTAAGAAAAAAAGGAACATATTGAAGTGAGTAGTCCTTCAATTTTCTTTCTTAAAAATGTGATCATTGCTGATATGATTTTATGGCATTTTATGAGTCTAATGCAAATATTAGTGATTACACTTGGGTTCACAACATATATGGTTGCACATTTATTTGTCTTATTCTTTTATGTTGTTCACTTGATGTGTATTTTTTTCGTTTCGATGATTTTGATTTTTTCGATTGTTGATTGGGTAGGTGAATCATTGATATCCTAGATTTTTCAGTGGAAAGAGGCAAGATTGGTCATTGAACACCCTAAAATCTAGTTGGAAGCAGTGATATTCATAACCATAAAAAATATTTATTCATTTACATAGCAATACTAAATAGTAGTAAACACAACAACATCATATTTTATTTCATTTACAATAGTTTATATTATAATTATGATGTTACAAAACTTTCTCATAAACAAACTCCCAACATACAGCATTTATTAAAGACTTAACTAAAACATAAGACATGAACTTACAATTAGACATTGGACATCTAGCTACTAATCTCCAGGTCCTATTTAACAAGTGCTTTCTCATTCCCTAGAAAATAATTTAACAATTATATTGCTATGCACACTACTAAAATTCACTAAAGTATTCAATTTATAAGTTATAATAATTTACATTATGATTCATCATGTATGGAAAAGACACAAATATATATATATATATAAAATATTGTATTCATGTACACTATAACATAAATTTCAATAAAGAACATTCTTATCATTTAAATTCTTGCGTAGTTCTTCCATGTTAGTATAATGCTGCATGTTATTCACTTATTAGTGTAACATTTCATAACTTGTCTCACGTTGTTATAACATCTTATATATTACTATTATTATTTACATTACATTGATGTTTACACATTTATTATGATGATTCATGTAATATGATTTATGCAATGTATAAATGCATGTAAATTTCTCCCAATTTCTCTTTGTCTCTCCACATATCCACTTATAGCTCCACTTTTATCTCTCATCTACCACACATATAAATGGAGGACAAATTTCCTTATTAACTCCACATTAATCTCTCGTCTGTCATAAGGAAAACTGAAGGACAATAGTTTCACATTTATCTCTGATTTGTCAAAAGGAAAAAAATGAATATCAATAGCTTTAAATTCATCTTTCATATGCTATTCAGATAGATATAGAACAATCATATTTATAACTCCACATTCAATTCTCATCTGCATTCAGATAGATGGAGGAAAATAGTTTTCCTCGAACTTCCTTTTTCACTATGGTATGCACATAATATAAATATAAACATGTATGAATATGGAATGAATTAATAATACTTGCAACTGTATATATAAAACACCTGAATACAATTGATGAATAATTTATATAAAAATAAAATATTTTGACCCATGCTGCAATGCAATAGTACTGCCCGTGTGCTGCTATGCTCTGATATGAAATTGTCTTAAATCACATCACCACTGACCAATTATCCTCTATCTAGATCTCAACATCGTACCGCTACATAGCCGCGATGCTGCAGAGCTCTCAATAACTCTCCAAACCTAAGGCTTTGGTGCAACAATGCCAGCATTCAGCGCCGCTAAGTCACTCTAATCACTACAACACCACAATGCTTGGGCACACCCCACTCCAATCAGCTTTTTTTGAAGTCAAGTTTTTATTTATCTTGAATATATATATATATAGTTGAGAACATAAGAAGAGTTTGAAAGGATTAAAAAGGAGGTCTACATAGTTTATATAATATGCAAAGAAATAAATAAGTATAGAACTATGAGTTATTAAGGCACGTAAAAAGAGACACAGTTTGAAGCACCAAAGAGGAAAGGATTAGTCATACTTAAACTCGCAGCTGATGAATGATATATAATAAACTTCCTAGGTGTGAATTTATTAAACCTCAAGCTTTTTAATATAATCTTTTTGTTGCTGCTTCCATAGTACTTATGAGAAGGGCAGAAAAAGAATTCTTCATTTTACGAAGTGAAGGCTGAAGAAGAGGTTGAGGATCTAGTAATGAAGCAAAAATACGAGTCACGATGTTAAAGGCTACATAAATTCTCCTCACCTTGAGGTATTGAAGTATCATTAGGGTAACAAGAAGTGAGACTAATTTCAAATAATAGGGATTTGAATCTCAATGCTGAGTTTTGCTTTGATCACCAATATAATGGAAAAGCTTTTGATGACTCATAATATGAGCCTTAGACTTCGTTTGTGATGACTTTCTTACTGCTTTTAAAAGTAGCTTTCTAGTATAAAAATTAAAAAAAAATATTTTTGATAGATGCTTTAAGAAGCAGTAAAAAAGCTATCCCAAATGAAGCTTTGATGGAGGAGACATGGGTATTATAAATTTTTTTTTTTAAATAACTAGATCTTCAATATTGGAAGGATGAATGAAAGCATTAGCACCTTTCTACAAGAGGTAATGCCAGCCTAAAGATGCAACAATGATTGAAAACCATTAGTTTTCTCTAAAACAACATTTTACCTATATCCATTATCCCATGTACTTGGTCATATTACGCCCTCAAAATCCTTAGTAACTTCAATTTCCACCAAAAATCGAGCAACTGAAGGTTTAGAAATCACAGTTATTTGAATATCAACATGTAATGAATTACCGAACATAGAGGAAAGAGAGTAAAACCACTGAAAAATTGCCGGAACAACGAATTTCCATCGGAAAATCACCTATTTCTGCCAGAAAAATATGCCGGTAATGAATGATTTTCTTGTAGTGCAAGGAGTTGGAGGTGAACTCTAAATGTTGAAATCCAATTCAAATTGATGTGATAGAAAGTTTGATGTATAACTCAAAATCTGAACATCCTTTTAGAATCCTCATTGTAAATTCATGAATATTGAGTGATCTACGATTAAACAAGGCACATTAATAAACAACCACTCAAGCGCATTTTAAAAGAAAGATAAAGCTGCTTGCAGTGAAACTATAAAACATCCCACTAAATTTATAAGTAAATAGCTCAACAAAACATTTAGGTTTCATTTGGAATAGTTTTCTTACTGCTTTCTAAAGCAGCTTTCAAGCACAAAAAATTATTGAAAGCGA